GACTAAAAACAGCATGAGGAAAATAATTAAAAAAAACAGTGAAAGCAGCGACAAGAAGTAAAGTAGGTTTAGCTAACTCTTCCACTACGGACTGGTTTATTGGATGATTTTACCCGTTAGTTGGAGAGTGAGATTAGGACAGTGAAAGCAGCGACAAGAAGTAAAGTAGGTTTAGCTAACTCTCCCACTATGGACTGGTTTATTGGATGATTTTACCCGTTAGTTGGAAAGTGCGTTTATTCACTTGACACAGTGGAAGCGATGAGAAGCAAAACAGTGAAACAATTTTAATTTAACACAATCGCCATAGTTGTCATGAATTTTTCTCTTCTGGAAAAGCTCCCTGGCTGGGAAGGGATAGAACAAAACAATTATATTATTTTGGCAACTTAATGGGTTTAAAGGAACCCATCAGGAAACGTTCATTGTTTACTAATAATTAATTTCTTATTAACATAAATGTTAAACCCCAAATCGTTTGGTTTAATGCTCATTCCAAATTAATTCGTAGAATTATATCCCTGTTATGTTATGCGTTAGAATATATCTTATATATATTGCGAACTGTGGTGTCTGTCCGAGCGTTCGTCTGTCTACCATTTGAAAAGCTGTGCACGCAGGCAAAGCTCAACATTCACTTTTGAAATGACGGGAGAACAGGCATGGATAATGTTAATGCCAAAGTTTATTCCGCAAGCAGGATATTCTATACTAACTTGTTAGGAATTAATCACACTATCATTCACGTTTCAAAATGTGACGTAACTTAAAGAATAAAAATGTAGATTTACCATACGATATTGTTAGTATGACTGAAATGTTCAACAATTACTTTTTGCGGTATAAGTAGCTCAGAGCTTTGGCTCTAAATGAAACCAAGAGTGCAACACAATTAACCTCTTTAAAGTCCATGGAATAATTAAAATTGATAGAGTATATGTATATATATGTGTGTGTGTGTGGAGAAGGTTGAGTACGCCATATAAAAACGATTTTCGAACCTCATCTCGTCGTTAACGTCCCATCATTTCACACTCTGTTTGACTACCGTACATCTTAACAATAACCCTGTAGCGTATTTTCTATTGCAGAAAGCTCTTCGTAAAGTTTCCTTATCAAAAACACACCATTCTTCTTCGTTTGCTTTTAATAATTCATCTAGTGTACGTAGACAAAGGTTCCTCGCGCTCGTTTCAATTTTCTTATTACACAGGAATTCAAAAGCACTGTTATATACCCTTTCCAAAAGCGGTCAGTTTCAAGTGTCATCACATAACCTACGTAATGCCAAACAAAGTCCAAGTGCAGTTCTGATACATGTCGTTCCACTGCCACAAAACTAGCTTATGTTGCTAAGTATTACAATGGCATGCTGACAAATAAAACAGCAGTCAAAGTCAAATGTACAAAAACCAAACTGGAAACAATTCCAAATCAACATCAGTTATCTTAATGGTCATAGCTAAAGTTTACCATAAATTGATTTCGAAAAAGAAATTTTAATTAAACTTATGTCATGACTGTAAAAAATGAGGAAACAACGGTGCATGGCATTAGTGTCATTCTTTTAACTCTTAAAAACACAATTAAAATAAAAATGTTCATCGCATTCTGAGAAATTTTAATTAAACTTATGTTATGACTGTAAAAAAATAGTTGAGAAAACAACGGTGCATGACATTAGTGCCATTCTTTTAACCCTTAAAAACACAATTAAAATATACAAGGTTTATCGCATTCTGAATAAGATTCATCTGTATAAAACGACATACCAAAAAGAGTTCTTCATCTTCTAATAGCTTTAATAGTGACAAACCTATTGGCGAATTCATATTAATAGAGATGTGCAAATAATTAAATTGTTACATTATTGTCATGGTAACATAAGTCTTTAGCTTTGTTTTCTGTAAACAGTGCAGATTTCTCTTAAAAGAAGAGAATAGCCTAGCTGGTTGAGATTGATTTTTCATGTAGAAGGTCTTTTGGCAAAGACATCAAGAGAATTGCATGTCTACAACTCAATATAACAAACATTTGTCTATGACGTGCTTACGACCTGTCATATTCATGACAGAACAATGAACTGGTACTTTATAACCTATTCCTTCAACGATGTTTGTGCTAAAGAGTTATCATAAAGCAGTTCTGAAAGTTATGAAACAGGTTTAGTCCTTGTAGTGCTTTACATACTCCTAATAAGTAATCTCATATAGTTACCATACTGAATAAATACCAATGCATTTTTAGTATTGACTGTTTAAACTGAGAAACATGTTGTATGCTAATACACTTCTATAATCAAAAACACTGTCGCTTCTTTAATATTCCAAAACTTTTTGAATGAATGGTTACTAATAATTTTTATTTTCTTTGGTGAAAACGCAACCAAGTCCTAAGTAAACTTGTACTTTGAAAGCAACTCCTTAGTAAACTAGTCTTGTGTAACTAAGTTCTTAGTAAACTAGTCCTATGTAAGCAAGTCCTTAGTAAATTAGTCTTATGTAAGTAAGTACTAAGTAAACTAGTCTTATGTAAGCAAGTATTAAAGTAAACTGGTCCTATGTAAGCAACTCCTTAGTAAACTAGTCTTGTGTAACCCAGTTCTTAGTAAACTAGTCCTATGTAAGCAAGTCCTTAGTAAATTAGACTTATGTAAGTAAGTACTAAGTAAACTAGTCTTATGTAAGCAAGTCCTTAGTAAACTAGTCCTATGTAAGCAAGTCCTAAGTATACTAGTCTTATGTAAGCAAGTACTAAGTAAATTAATCTAATGTAAGCAAGTCCTGAAGGAAACTGGTCCTATGTAAGCAAGTCCTAAGTAAATTAGTCGTATGTAAACAAGTCCTATATAAACTAGTCTTATGTAAGCAAGTCCTAAAGGAAACTAGTCCTATGTAAGCAAGTCCTAAGTAAATTAGTCGTATGTAACCAAGTCCTATATAAATTAGTCTTATGTAAGCAAGTCCTAAGGGAAACTGGTTCTATGAAAGCAAGTTTTAAGTAAACTGGTTCTATGTAAGCAAGTCCTAAGTAAATTAGTCGTATGTAAACAAGTCCTATATAAATTAGTCTTAAGTAAGCAAGTCCTCAAGTAAACTGGTTCTGTGAAAGCAAGTAAGCAATGATTTTTTATTGTACCATTAGTTTCACAAAATATTGAAACTAATTATTTCTTATATATGATTCCAATCTCCCCTTTCTGAAGTTAACGATATTATTGTGTCCGTTTTGCTGTCAATGTAGTAATCAGTTGACGAATCTATGATTCAGTTGGTATGTCAAGTTGATTGGAATACATTCTTCCCTCACTCGACCTGGTGCGTTCTTCCCTCACTCGACCTGGTGCGTTCTTCCCTCACTCGACCTGATGCGTTCTTCCCTCACTCGACCTGGTGCGTTCTTCCCTCACTCGACCTGATGCGTTCTTCCCTCACTCGACCTGATGCGTTTTTCCCTTACTCAAACTGGTCCCACGGTTTAGTTTAATCGCCACAATTAAACCATCATATTCACAACCACATCTAAAACATTTCAACCATGTTTCATTGCTACAACTTATATGTACAACTTAACTTCTCCATGCTGGCTTTCATGGTCTCGAGTAAGGTCACAGGTCTGGTCCAGCGACCTAGACCTCGAAAATAGTGACAAATGTCTTCTTTTTGTCTAATCAAAAACAACTCAAACCTTTCCGGAATGACTCTTTTTTTTTTTTGATCCACGTCAAGATGCCAGGCTGGCTATTACGGCATCTGTTAAAATTGTTTAATCAATACGTATTAAAATCGACAGAACTTTATCAAAAAGACGACCCTAAAAATATTAGTGGTAAACTATGTGCCATATTGTGTCTTATAAAACAAAGAGCGATTCAGCTACTGTGTAGACTTGCTACCGGTTTTGGTGTATCAGAAGTAACTTATTCAATTTGAAAGAATAAAACTTATAATATATATGAAAATATAACCAATCCTTTAAAATTAAATCTAATTTTATTTTATAAATTGTCAACTGAAACTTATTGTCTATTAGTTGTTAACATTATACTATTGAGATATTGTTTCCTGGTTTCAAGTAAAGCTCAAATATATTATCGTATTTAGAAATGTTAACACTTTTCACATCTTTGTGAGCTCTCCGTCTTACTGAAATATATACGAGCATTTTTAAAGAAATAGTACTATGAACTAATATGGCCCGAAATAAATGAAACTCGTGAAAGTTTCACAGAAGTATTTTATTCTTAAACAGACATTTCAATTTATGCGTTCGATTTAAATCTCTTCTTAATTTGTTACTAACCTTTCTAAAAATCTGTCACGATTTCTTCTTTAATCGTCTTATGTCCCTACAGACGGTGACTGTAATGTGGCATTAGGGAATAAACGCGCAATTACTGAAGGGGTTACACGTTCCTCTTGGACAAAAATTAAACACCTATCCGTCTCTCTATTTATCTATCTAACTTAAGTTTCCTTACGTAGGATATTTTTCAGTTATTTTCTCTTGTGTCCCCTTTTTTAAAATAAATAAACTGCGTGTCTGTCTCCACGGGTAGCAAACTTGGGAAGGAATTGTTGGAACTTATAATTAAATTTATTCCGAATCTTTTCGTAAAGTTCTCTGTAGTACTGTTGTTACTGCGTTTTAAGCCTATTCTTTTTACTTTATGATACACAAGCCTTCTTATCTGCTGCTTGAAATCATCTTTCTTAGGAAAGTAAGCGAAACGTCCAAATCTCGACAAACGTTTCGGCTTTCTTAAGAACTGTACAGTTGAGTAAGTAGTGTTATCAGAAATTATAAGTAAAAACATTAATATAATGATTTTTTTAAAAATTTGTTTCGAAAATACACATTTTGGAGATTGGGTTAAGTTAGCGCCAACTAGTGTGCACTGACGATCTGGCGAATCAACAACAAGCGCTGCTTCTTAGAGAAATCACGTGGCAAGTGTTCGTGGAGCTAGGCGTTAACTCTAGTGGGTGACTCGCCACGAACTGAGTAGTTGAAGAACAGAGTGGTTAGATAAAACGTCGCGACTTCTGGATATTGCCAATTCTTTATCCAAACGTGGTAAATTTAACGCTCTTTAAGCTCATGATTGTTGTTTTTAGCTTATAGAAATAAGTTAAATACGGTAAAAACTCGAAAGATATTACAACGGCCGAAGATAAAAATATATTTTCGTTTACTTTTAGAGCATATAATGAAAGTTGCATCCGTGACACTTTTCAGCCAGGTGTAAGTAAATATTTTCTTTACAATAAAATTATGTGGTATTACTTTCTGAGAAGCTGCCATCTAGAAATGTATTGTTTCTTTGTTGTAGAACAATTTGAGTTAAAGCTGGTAAAACACTTTCAGCCAGGTGTAAGTAAATATTTTCTTTACAATAAAATTATGTGGTATTACTTTCTGAGAAGCTGCCATCTAGAAATGTATTGTTTCTTTGTTGTAGAACAATTTGAGTTAAAGCTGGTAAAACATTTTCAGTCATAAATCTCTCTACACACACACATATATATATATATGTATATATACCCTAAACTTTCATTGCTTGCTTTAGTTTTTGTGTACCATAGTTGAGCGATATTAAGTTGCTAATGTTGAAAGTCTTTATTTTGTTTTATTATATTCAAAATGTTAAAGTTGTATATTAAGACAGTAGTATAAGTGAAGTAAAAAAGGCATAAAAAAGTCGTAAAAATATATTTTTAGTTACACTATTTATGTGATTACTATCGCTACAACATCTTATTTCTTACTTTAACATCCCATAGTTGATAAATAGTAAAAAATTCAATAGAAGATATACACGCTGGGATAATTGTATAATTTTGTACGTTTACTGGGCTTATTTTACTGAAACAATGGAGTTACCCAACATATTTTATGCTAATGAACAATGGAGTTATCAAATATATTTTATGCTAATGAACAATGGAGTTATCAAACATATTTTATGCTAATGAACAATGGAGTTATCCAATATATTTTATGCTAATGAACAATGGAGTTATCCAACATATTTTATGCTAATAAACAATACATTAGCATAAAATATGTTTGATAACTCAACAATGGAGTTATCCAATATATTTTATGCTAATGAACAATGGAGTTATCCAACATATTTTATGCTAATAAACAATAGAGTTATCTAACATATTTTATGCTAATGAACAATGGAGTTATCCAACATATTTTATGCTAATGAAAAATGGAGTTATCCAACGTAATCCTTACTGGCTCATTAAATTAGGAATTCTTCGTACTGGAAACTTTTCAATTGAAACATTTTAGCATTTCTCTCACCGATTGCAGGTAAGTGGAATATTTTGACCTGGAGTATCTCTAACTGAAGCAACGATAATGACTTAATGCTTTTTTTTTACTTTCTTTCTGTGTATTTGGAACTTAACTAAATCATAATGACAAGATAGAGCGCATTTATTCAACCTCCCATGTGGGTCGAGCATGTCCTAGTTATTAGTGTGTCAAGACTGTGAATCCAAGGATTTGTGGTTTTTATCCTGTTTAAAATCGTTCTATCTTAAAAACTACTTCCATCAGAGTAGCATTAGAAGCATATTGAAAATCATAAGTTTTATTCAATTATTCAGAAAGGTTTAGACAGGGTACAGCGTGTTTGAAAACCAAAATATACACAAACATACCTAAATCCCTTTTCCCTGGACAGGGTACAGCGTGTTTGAAAACATACCTTAGTCCCTTTTCCTTGCAAAGCAGCATCTCATTTATTCCTCCCCTTTTTTATTTACTTTTTATCAATATGAGATTGGTGATCTGTACAAAATGCTTGTCAGGATAAAGATCAATGAACACTGTCTAGAACAGATGATGCCTGGAGTAGCTCCAGCTCCAGCTTTTCTTAACACTGGGTGGGGTGTGGGGGGGCAATAAGACATATAATGAGGTAAAGTATGGAATAAATATAAAATTAGAATAACGGGCAGCATTAGCTTTGAAAACCAACGACATTTCAGGGGATATCCCCCTTGCCCCCCGCTAGTGCTGGCATAGCTTGATATGCTGCTTGAAAATTTCCTATGATACTCCATGTAAGATTTAGTTCCCTAAGAAGAAGTAGTTTTTAAGATATGCTCGTTTTAAATACATGGTTTTCTTTCTAATCACTCTGTATGTCCACTTTTTTGGAACATATTATCTACAGTAACATTAGAATAAATTGCAATACGTATTAATGTGTATTGATTACTTCCGCTGTACTACCACATGTTTTGCTTCACGCGTAACTGGATTATTCTTTACAAATCTCAAAGAGAAGGGGGATTTACGAACTTACTGCCAAAAGCTCTCTTGCAACACAAATCGCTAGTCTCTATAAACTGGCGTATAACGCGCTTAATTTGTTTCCGTTCCAATAGGTCGGTAGAACGAGAATCCCAGAGCTTCAAGCCATCTTCACACTAGGGATACACTTCGCATCACTAAATCCTACTTTTCTTGTGATCTCCAGCCGCTCACGTATGTATGGTAAAAGGACAAGGTTTGTGCTATCGCCTACAGGTGACTTCATTTTTTTTTTCTATTTCTAAGTGCGCGATTTTATTGAAATAAAATGAGTCTTATACCTTCTGACTTGAAAGACTGATGATACGCGAAGGCGTGGATTATCATTCAGGTTACTGATATTTCAGCCCTTGCGTTAAAACAAGCAAATGGGCTGAAATATCAGTAGCCTGAATGATAATCAACGCCTTAATGAACTTGGATATGCGTTAAAACAAGCAAACATCCAAGCTCATTAAGGCGTTGATTATCATTCAGGCTACTGATATTTCAGCCCATGTGTTAAAACAAGCAAACATCCAAGTTCATTTAGGCGTTGATTATCATTCAGGCTACTGATATTTCAGCCTATGCGTTAAAACAAGCAAACATCCAAGTTGATTATCTACCACAATATCCTAATATAGAGTGTGATTTCGATCCATTTTTTCCCCATTTTTTTGTGCTTTTGTTTCTCTTATTCGAAACATTCAAAATCAATATTAAACACTTTTAAGCATGACTGCGACTTTGTTAAACAAAGTATAGGCTGTACCATCTATGTTACTAGTAATAAAACACAAACAGTAATCCGCGTTTATTGTAAAGTTCAAGGTTTCACGCTGTTGCCAAAAGCCACGAACTAACATTCTTATAACGTTAGAAGCTATGCGTTTAAAAGTATTAGTTTACACTCACAATAGGAAACTTTCAGTTGGAACAAAATGTTTCAACCGTAGGGCGTTTTTATTTCTCGTTGGTACTTTATCCTTGGATGACTCAATTACTCACCAGTTTCAATAGAACAAAAATCGCCTATTCCCCTCCCTCCCCTTCCCACGAAGATTTTCCCTCCTTGAGCAAGTAAAATAGTCTTTTAAAACAGAAAGTATTTTAAGCCCATACGGTTGTGACAGGTTTATTTTTTAATCTTTATACCTAGGGTCTTTTGTTTGTTTAGTACTTTCTAAACAAGTGAAATCATGCAAAAACGGCCCCTGCATGGCCAGGTGGTTAGGTCGCTTGACTCACAATCTGAGTGTCGCGAGTTCGAATCTCCGTCACACTAAACATGCTCGCTCTTTCAGCCGTGGAAGCGTTATAATGTGACGGTCAATCACACTATTCGTTGGTAAAAGAGTAGCCCAAGAGTTGGCGGTGGATGGTGATGACTAGCTGCCTTCCCTCTAGTCTTTCATTGTTAAATTAGGGGACAGCTAGCGCAGATAGCCTTCGTGTAGCTTTGCACGAAATTCAAATCAAGTCAAACCAAAATCATTCAAAAACCAAACAATTCATATCAACGTACACAGCTGTATAGCTGAGGTACAAAAGGCTTATCTAGTAATGTATATGTAAAACGAAAAACTTCACATAAAATTAGTTACACCAATTAGATAAAATGATCTTTTCTATTTGATGTAACAAAATTATATCTATTCGGGTTACTTATTTTATTAAATAAGTGTTAATAATGACTAAGAAAGCGTCAAATTGTTGAATTTTAATTTTAGGCAATTATGCTATATTTTATTTGTGATTAATTTTGTGTAGGACAAAATAAATGTGTTTATGAGAACACATATTATAAAACAAACTAGAGAATTTAACACTGTATTCTTAGTTAGTCCATTATAGGTTATCAGGAAGAGGAATATTTAAGAAAGAATTGTAAAAACTTTATCCTCTTTTGTTGTGATAGCTTATTTGGATGTATGAAAAATACGTAACTATCTATCATCACAGGTGTTTCAAAAACTGATTTGTAGAGACTTGGAGAATGAAACTAAGTTACTTTTAATGGTTCTAACTTTCTACGACTTTCTATGGCTGATTACATAAGTATAATAGAAACACTGACAGGTATGCTTTAATAATTTGTTTGTTGTTAAGCACAAAGTAACAAAATGGGCGCTCTGTGCTGTGCCCACCACGAGTATCGAAACCAGGTTTCTAACGTTGTAAGTCCGCAGACTTACCGCTGAGCCACTGGGGGCTTTAAGGAAATAAATTTTATTGGTTTTTTTTTTGCCTGTAACGGGAAATGTAAAGCCTACTTCGGTTTTAATATACAGTCTACATTGTTCTGATAGACACTATTTCGGTACTGATATACGATATACATTGTTCTGGAAGACGTTAAGTCGGCACTAATATATAGTATACATTGTTCTGATAGACACTATTTCGGTACTTATATACGATATACATTGTTCTGGAAGGCGTTAAGTCGGCACTAATATATAGTATACATTGTACTGGAAGACACTACTTCGGCACTGATATATTGTCTGCATTGTTCCGGTAGACATTACTTCGGCACTAATATATAGAATCCATTGTCCTGGCAGATGTTACGTCGGCACTAATATATAGTATCCATTGTCCTGGCAGACGTTACGTCGGCACTAATATATAGTATACATTGTCCTGGCAGACGTTACGTCGGCACTAATATATAGTATACATTGTCCTGGCAGACATTACGTCGGCACTAATATATAGTATACATTGTCCTGGCAGACGTTACGTCAGCACTAATATATAGTATACATTGTCCTGGCAGACGTTACGTCGGTTCTAATAATCATTCTACTTTTGGTCTGGTAAACACTTCTTTGGATATAATGTGCAATCGACATTTTTCTGATAAACACTATTTCTGCTCTCATATATAGTACATATTGTTCTGGTAGACACTATTTCTGGCCTCATACGCAGTCAACATTGTTCTAGTAGACACTATTTCTGCTCTCATATGCAGTCAACATTGTTCTAGTAGACACTATTTCTGCTCTCATATGTAGTACACGTTGTTCTGGTAGACACTATTTCTGCCCTCATATGCAGTCAACATTGTTCTAGTAGACACTATTTCTGCCCTCATATGCAGTCAACATTGTTCTAGTAGACACTATTTCTGCTCTCATATGTAGTACACGTTGTTCTGGTAGACACTATTTCTGGCCTCATACGCAGTCAACATTGTTCTAGTAGACACTATTTCTGCTCTCATATGCAGTCCACATTGTTCTGGTAGACACTATTTCACTTGTGATATACGTTATTGATTTCTCTAGACACTGTATAAAATCTCTATTCTGTACATGTATTTTTTGCACATACCTCGCGTGCAAGTTTATGTCTATATTGTTTAAGTGTATCGTGAACAGAGCCAACATATATTAGAGTCGAAATGATACTGGTCACGATCAATGTAGCATTTGTAAGAACAGATGTAGTGGATATTAGAATTAAAACGGTGTAGGTGTCAGAACTAATACGCATTCTGAACTGATATAATACGTGTCTCAACTAATGCAGTTTGTTACTCAACCGAAGTAATATGTAGTATCCATAATAATGTGTAAATGAAACACGTAGAGCACTTGTTAAAGCTGACTTGTGCCCCTTCCGAAGAGGAAAATTAATTCTGGTCTGACACTGATCTTGAATTTCTATAAACATCAAGTGTCTGACGTTTGCTCGAAATAAAACCATGTGCTTACATATACAGGCTATTTGATGGAATTTCAGTCGTTTGAAACAGACAAAAGTATTGCACTTCCAATAACACAATTGAATAAAGACAAATGGATGAATGAAGTTCAGTGAACACTACATCCAGTCGATGATAGGTGGCGCGTGATATCGGTGTTTCTTAGGGAAGACCAGGAGGATTTATACATGAGATCAGTGTTTTAGTGAAATACTGTTCATTATACAAATAGTCATTTATAGTGAAATAGAGTAAACACTGCACTTAATATTCGATACAACACTTTTATCTTAACCACTCACTTTAGAGACACATCATTATTGTCAGGTAACTTGCCCGTACTTTAAATGTCAGATACACCACTTATTAAATAGCGTGGAGACAATTTTTTTACGAGATACAAAACGGAAAATATTAACGAAATGCTCCTGTTCTTGTCCTTTAGTCGTTGACGATTTATACTCGACTGCCACCCAGTGGCACAGTGGTATGTCAGCGGACTTACAACGCTAGAAACCGGGTTTCGATACCCGTGGTGGGTAGTGCACAGATAACCCATTGTGTAGCTGTGTGCTTAAATTCAAACAAACAAAACATACTCGGCTTCGGGTACTACATAGCCCCCCATTGGCACAGCGGTATATCTGCGGACTTACAACGCTAGAAACCGGGTTTCGATACCCGTGGTGGGCAGAGCACAGATAGCCCATTGTGTATCTTTGTGCTTAATTTCAAACAAACAAACGAAGGTACAAAATAAAATAGCCATTTATATAGAAATGTATCTTATAGATATACAAGCTCTGTAATTAGTTAAAATTCAAGGTTGGAGTTAACTATCAAATAAAGTTATGATATAATAAACTCTTTAAAAGAAAGTGAAGTGTAACTATTTGAAGAGAAATGTATATCAGTATATTTGTTGTGCTAACCAGTAGGATTAGTAGGATAACCAGTAGGATTATATACATAGTCTTATTTAAGTTAACTAAAAGTGAAAACAATATATTGTTGAACTTATGGTGCACTCTGAGAATTATATACATAGTCCTATTTAAGTTAACTAAAAATGAAAACAATATATTGTTGAACTTATGGTGCACTCTGATGATAAATCAACGACTAGATTGCATGAATCTTGGGCAGAAGTGTCGCTAGGTACTTAAAAGATTCGGGGCTCTGACCCATAGGCGCGAGAATTCTCAGCGTTTCAGTATGATATCGGTGGTGGTTTTCTATTATGATTTTTCAAGACATCAACTGGGGATTCAAGGCACTGTCAAATAGAATCGGGGCACGGGCCCCGTGTGTCAGATGCCTAGCGATGCCCCTGATCTTGGGCATAATTGCCTCAATAATGCAGTGTACATGTTGCCAAAGGGAATGTCACGTTCTCTACTTACTCAAAATTCTAAACTTAATCGTTCTGCGGTGCCTACAGGGCCGTTTTATCTAATAGCTTCTGCTCTTGGGCATCCTTGCTTTAAGTGGATATTTTCAGGTGTTGTTCCAGTAACACCTCGTGAGGCCTAAGCCACATGGGTTATTTCAGTTTGAGTCTAAACACCAATGTAAAATTATGACATTATAAATACAGATTAGTTATAAAATGCCTTGTGCCATAAATTATAAAAGATGTTCCGTAGATAAAGAAAGCCTAGAATGATTGCACTCAAAGTGTGTACTGCAGGGAAGCTACCGTTAGTTAAAGGCACTCAAAGTGTGTATTGCAGGGAAGCTACCATTAATTAAAGGCACTCAAAGTGTGTATTGCAGGGAAGCTACCATTAATTAAAGGTACTCAAAGTGTGTATTACAGGGAAGCTATCATTAATTAAAGGTACTCAAAGTGTGTACTGCAAGGAAGCTACCATTAGTTAAAGGTCGGATAAAAGGTTAAGTGTTTGATCTCCATTCGTAGTATTCATTGTATCAAATCCAAACAGACTAATTGAAACTAATCCAGACAATGTTCCTGTTGAGTTATTTATAGCATCTTGCTACAGTTACTGTAACACTTCACAACTTCATGTTCTAGCATGCTCACTGCGCCAGAATTGTCGTATTTCGCCTTCACGAGTCTTACTTCATGCTGTGGTATTAACATATTGATTGTTTTCGAGAGAACTCAGGTGTTGCATGCACACCTGTAATAGTACATGTTGCCAAAGGGAATATCACGTTCTCTACTTATTTAAAATTCTAAACTTAATCCTTCTAGGTAGTTTTATCCAAGGAGCAGTTGGCTAAGGCCCACCGAGTGTTGAGAGTATAATAATGAAAAATAAAATATGAAGTGTATAATAAAATAATAATAATAAACAAGTTTTTAAAAAATATCTTTCCCTTTTTTATTTCCTTACTTTTTCATCACCAATAAATTTAGTTTATTAAATTGTGTGGTATTTTCTTAAACGCAGGGGGGGGGGCACTAGTTTATACTTCTCCCAGGGCCTAACAGTGCCTTAATGCGGCACTGGGTGCCTAGTTCACATTCCATGACCCCATTTATAGTTCAATCTG